CAACAAGGCAACAGGCAGTGCAGATTAACATCTTCACAGCTGTTCTTAGTGCACTAAAGGTAGTGCTTTAGACTCGGTATAGGTTTATTTTTTAGCATAAACTCTTGGATATGACGACACCTTTGCCTATCAAACTAGTCATAAAATTTGTGTCAAAATCACCAAGGCAACAGGCAATGCTCCTGCCTATATGAAATAAAACTTTATGACGAATGAAAACAAATATGTTAGTCTGAAATATTTATTAAAGGTTTGCATAACAAGTTTGAATAACAAAATCATTACAATACAGTACACAATGTTTAAAAATATAGTTTTTGAGGTAAAACCACTGGTTGGTTGGTTGGTTGGTTAGTTGTCTGATTAATATTGTCAATCTTTTTCACACAATAAGCCTTCCACTCAAATTTCTTTTCAGAATTATAACATTCTACTCTTATCTCTTGTTTTTTTTTTTTTTATTGCTCCTTTCTTTGCTGATTTTTAGATTACTGATCAATAACTAAGAAATGTTGTGCTCTGTTTTGTTTTTAAGACTCAAATTTAAAAGAATATTTAACCTTTGATAAACCAACTATTTTTACCTCACTACTGATTTGTTTTATTATATGGCTTGTTTATTGTACAGGGTTTGGCAGAAAATAAAAGACGTTTGAAAGATGCTCGAGTCAGGGCAGCTGCTAATAATTTGATAATGGTATGTTTTTCAAAAACATAAAGATTTTCAGTGATTTTTGTTTTGTTTGTCCAAAAAGAAATAAAATTTGCAAAAACAAGTTATGTTTTAATTTCGATTATTCCAATGTTAGTACTTTTTAGTGGATACATATTTTATTTTTTAAATTCAGTTCTGTTTTTTAATTATTTTTTTTCTTTGAGACACTAAACTTGATAAGCTATTGATCACCTTTACATCCAAAAATATATTTCGACATTGAATTTAAAACTTACAATAATGAAATATACACAAAAACAAAAAATGCTTAAGATGATATGTATCTTTTATCTCTTGATAGAGTGCACTGACAAATCAAAACCCAATCCTGAGATGTGCAGCTGGAGAGGCTCTAGGACGAATGGAAC